ACTGCCTGCGTTCGATGAACGTGTTGGTCACATTAATTGAACCGGCCAGACTGACTCAGACTGGACCAAATCCTGAAATGGACCAGGTCCAGAACGTCTCAACCGATCCGAGTGTTCAACAGGCGTGTGACATAGCCTGGTATGTAAGTTCCTACTTAAGTCAAACGAATCCCTGAGTTTGAAACACCTGCGCAGACAGCACTGCAGGATCCTGCATGATATTCGCCTCCGCAGCTGTTTCCTGAGCGAACTACTAGCCAATACCTCAAACATGAGACACGACAACGGAAATCCTGAGAGGTTTGGATGGGGTGGAGGGAAGAAGAAATGAAGCATTTTACAACAGAGGTCAGTCGCTTTGCTTCGGGTTTGGAGGTTGCGGGCTGCACGTCTTGAGAGCATGAACGGTGTAGGATATTGGAGAGAAACATGTCCAGTTCTACCTAGGGCTAGGACCCTAGCCCAACTCGCATACTACTGACTAATACCTTGCTTCTTTGCATTTAAGACCAGGATCCTCATCTCAACCCAAACTGGCAACAAGCCCTAAAACCCTGAACCACCCAGCTACAGGCGTGAAGCCAACGTCCGCTTGTGGCTGCAAACATCTGGCAAACCCATAGCCCCAAACCCTTTAAACCCGAGAATATATTATACACACTACAGTGTAAGCCGCGCACCATAAATGCCTTAGACAAATGAACCCGGTAACCTTAAATGCTGAGCACCTGACAAGGCCTCAACGCCCACGCGGCATGAAATAAACAAGTACATGTGTATATATATATATATAGAGAGAGAGAGAGATATAGATATAGATATAACGGCCTGACATCATTACTCAAACTACTCCAGCCCTTGTTGTAGGGTTCTTGAATGGTTGTTGCCAAGATCTACTAGGGATCTGTAACTTGGTTTGAAGTTTAGGATTCTTAGGGCCCAGAGTCTGGGTCGAGGTTTAGGGTTTAGGGTTTAGGGTTCAGGGTTTAGGGTTTAGTGTTTAGGAGGTTTCTTAAAACAGGGAGGACCCGGACATCATCGGCACCTGTAGCGTTGTTAGGGTATCTTGGTTACTAAAGGTTGGCGCTTGCCTAGACTGCACAATGCAATACGTGCTTTTTTGGCTAGGTTAGTCATCTATTGTCGGATTCTGCGTTATAATATAGATCACCCTAAACCGTAAACCCTAAATCTCTAAAAATCCCTAAAACCGTAAAGACCCAGTGAGGCGGGGGTCTCGTATCTTGGACGGGCTTAAGTTTAAAGCCCCGAGGCTTCAGAGCTGAACAGCTGGGTTCTGGAAGGCACAACGCTTAAGGATGTTTGGGTTTCGGGTTTCGGGGTTCAGGGTTTAGGGTTTAGGCTTTGGGGTTTCAGGGTGTACGGCTCAGGGTTTAGTCTCGGATGAGCAGGCTTCAGAGTTCATTCTGTATGTCTGTGCCTCTGTGTGCGTGTGTGTGTGTGTGTGCCTGCAGGTTAACCGCTCCATACATAACAACATTTAATACATGTATACAGACAAATGTAGGAACAACAATTTGCTGCAGGATGTTGTGCTATGTGATATTGCTTTCATTATACAGTAGTACATGTTGCATATTTCGGTATAGTATACTGTATTGCAGTATAGTGTATGCTTCTTAATCCATCATGTGTAGTAGATATTGTCTATAAACTGCGTGATGTCACGATATGCTAAATACTTAGCAGAAACTATATTAGGCTATATCTTATCATACACTCGAATAATATTATCATATTATAATGTAAAATATCATATTCAACCATACCATACTGAATTACCTGATGTAATGCTGCACTAGTTGATATTAAGATATACATCTGCTTAGATATATGTACATACCTCTACAGTTGCGTCTATGTATATGTATATGTATGTGTATATATATGTATATATATATATATATAATTAAATGTAAATACATGCGTATGTGCATAAGTGCGTGTATATATATATATATACAGATATGTATGTATGTATGTATGTATGTATGTATGTATGTATGTATGTACGTGTGTAGGTATGTAGGTATGAAGGTATGTAGGTATGTATGTATGTATGCATGTACGTATGTATGTATGTATGTATGTATGTATGTATGTGTATGCATGTGTATGTATGTATGTATGTATGTATGTATGTATGTATGTATGTATGTGTATTCATGAATAAGCAGATATGCACATATGCATTCTCACTTGACCAAGACTATTTCTGTATATATGTATACATATGTATAACAGTGAACACTCCAGCCCGCAAAGGCCCAAAAACCTCAACGCCCTGGAGTGTTAAATCCCCACACACACCCTAAACCCTAAACCCTTAACATAAAACACGCACACACACAAAAACGAAAAACAACTTTACCGCTACCAAACCTTCAGACTTCCGCCCTCGAATCATCGCAGTGTCCCAAACCCTCCACCTGTAGATCATAAACCTTTAAACAGGAAGGCCTACTCCCTATATTAATATAAGCCCGGATCCCTGAACTCTAAAGACATTAATCCCTAAACCCGGAACCCTAAACTCTAAAGCCCTTCAGAAAGCCCTAAAACGCTAAACCCTGAACCGTAAAGGGCCCTAACCTCTCCGCTCTTAGTCGCACCTAAACCCCAAAACCCCCAAAACCCAAAACCTCTAAATCCCTAAACCCTAAACCGCACCAGGGCACGGCCAAGTGCCTTGGGCCCACAGGAAAGAGACGCCTCCCTGTCGTGCTGAAGGGCAATTCCTGACCTTACGCGGGGGGGACTCTCGGGCTCTAAGGCGGCCTAGGGTCGAGGGGTCTAGGGGTTTAGGGGTTTAGGAGTTTAGGGGTTTAGGGTTTAGGGGTTTAGGGGTTTAGGGGTTTAGGGTTTAGGTGTTTAGGAGTTTAAGGGTTTAGGGTTTAGGGGTTTAGGGTTTAGGGGTTTAAGGGTTTAGGGGTTTAGGGTTCCTTTCAGGGGTACTTCGAAAGGGTCCCTGAGAGGGGCTCGTGCAGAGGATTCCTGTTAACTGGCTCATCTGAGGGATTCCGTATAGGATCCCGATAACGGTTCTTTAAAATGGTTCCTTCGAGGGTTTAGGGTTTAGGATTTAGGGTTTAGAGGTTTAGGGTTTAGGGGTTTAGGGTTTAGGGTTTAGGTTACTATGAGGATGTGGGGTGCTCTCGGACTCTATGACGGAGCAGCAGTAGCTCTCGTTTGTCATCCTTACGTATCATAGTTATGATATAATGTACCCTCCCAGACCCCCCTATTCTAATCATCAAGGCCCTTTATTCTGGGGTTTAGCGACTTGAGATTAGAATCCTGAGTCTTGAAGTCCACCCGCTTTTGTCGGGGTTTAGCCAGGGTTATGGGTCTGAGTGCTTGTGCTGAAAACTGGGTTTGAGGTCTGGTAACGTCTGGTACTGCTTACATTTACATGCGCCCTAAGCATCCAAAGGACCTAACTAAAAGGTACTTGGGTTTAGGATAGTAGTTATGTAAGTGAATATTATTTGGGAGAGTCTATGATTATATAGGGTGCTTGGGTTTCAAGGCTCTTGGTTGCCAGGCTCCGGCTTCGATGTTCAGCAGAGGCTCGTCAATGTCCCAACAGAGGATCGTTAATGGTCTGTACGACTACTTCTTGGGTACGATCCCAAAAACAACTGTGAAACCTACAGTTTGGAAGGGCCGATGCCAAAACTCCGACTACTCCAGTACATTCCACGTGCAAACTACACGTAATAAGCCGGGAGTGCCGACATAAATGCGCTGGTTAGAAGAGGGTTCTTGCGGCACGAGAACACAGAGAAGCTTGACCCCCATGCCGCGCAGAGGGTTCCATTTTCGTCTATTCAAGCGAAGAAGGAGCCCGGAAAACAAGAGGTGCAAAGGGTACTACCTGCCGACGTGGTATAATTAGGAGTGTCTTGCAAGCCCCACGACCCAGACCTTAAAAAATCCTGAATGAAGAAAGATACCTTCAATTACAGTCTAGTAGGAGGCCAAATATGCTTTAAGGTAACGTAGGGGCCTCAATAGTTTCAATCGGGTTTTGGGGCCCATTATACTACAGTTATAATAACGAGCCCCTCAAAGAGTATAGATAGTTATTGAGGGCCCTACAATACTATATTTCTTAATTCAGCGAATTTGGAAGGTCTGGCAGGGTTCAGTCTCAAGTCCGGGGTGCATGGTCACAAGCCCCAAGGGTCCATGTACCCAAACAGTTTAGGGTTTAGGGTTAGGCTGTAGGGTTTAGGGTTACATACTTTGGCCCCAAAGTACCCAAATAGGGACCAAAGTATATACTATCTAAGTACATGGACCTTTAGGGAAGGACAGAGGGCCTGGGCCTGTCTGGGGGTTCTTGGGGCTTCGGGCACAAAGCTTAAGGGCTTCATGCCTCTGAAATGTTGATGGTGCTGACCTAACGCCCTATCCCATATAATTCCTACTGTGACAGTTAGCGTTCGAATGCCCAAGTTCCAAAGCCAGCGAGGAGGGTAACATAGACTCCTGAAGTCTTGACTAGGACCAGTCCTTCGTAATCATGCCTTAGTATTTACACCCCAGCCCGATTTTGATTCTTACGGCGCCTACGTCGAGCACGACACTTAGGCTCGCAGCTTTTCACATCCCAGACGGAGTGGGGCCCTTAAGGGGACCCTTAAATGGAACCTTTAGGGGAGCCCTGAAAGGAAGTGTTTTCGTAATCAAGCATTCCAATTCCAACTTGCTGCTGTTTCTTCAAGCTTTCTGTCCAGTACACATTCGGCAGGCCTCTTGACTCTCCATCGTAGGTATCCGACGTTGATGTTACCAACAAGGTTTATCGAGGTTGGGATTCATGTGGATGAAGTCACAAGTCGTGGGCATCGGGTAGTCAGGATCCGGGTTAATGATCCTTATCTCACAGCTGCCAGAGCCTATATGTGAAAGGTCGTGCGACCATCCCGACTATGGATTTCAGGCAGACCTGACAAAAGGCAAGTTGCACCCTGTCATGCGTGGATGCCTTTTGGCTGTCGCTTGTCTCGAAGCAGGGTCTGCTGCTGCAGATATTGCTCGGCCAGGGAGCTTAACTTTGTCAGCCGGACACCTCGAGCCCGAACATCTTTCAGAAACAACTTTGCCACCCTCAGCCTGTCCCTGCTTGTCCCTTTCAGCCGAGCACGGACGTCTTTCACCGTCCAGGCTTCCGTGAGACGACCCTGCAACAAAGCACCCAAGAATGCTTCTGTAAACACCTGGTTGGGACTGACGCCGGTGTGATTCATCTTCGATATGATTCCTTCAAGCATATCCAGCGGGGCCTGTCGGTGAGCTCCAACTAAGTTGGCGAAAGTGACAATGCTCGGCTGCAAGCCTATCCCCAGCATGCGTTCCAAGAAATACGTGGCTACCCTGTGGCGGTTAGAATGGTTCGAGTTTTTGCAGGCATTGATCGCTGAAGCGAAGTGGATGTCGTAAAGTGGCACGGTCTCCTGCACAATAAGCTCCAAGATAGAAGCAGCTCCTTCGACGTCATTAGGGTATCGTGCTTGGGGTTTAGGGTTTAGGGTTTGTTTCCCTTAACCCTACCTGTGGCCCAAAAAACCTACCTGTTTAAGGAACTATATATAGAAACCACAATAAGGAACCCTATAAAGGTAGGTTTTTTCGGCTACAGGTAGACCATCCAGCTCCTTGAATGTCACCCATCTCGCTGGCTGCAGCAATCCGAGCTCCAGCCAGAAACTTGTTGACCCATCCTTACTCTAGCATAGTATATACTTTGGGGGCCCAAATACCTACTAAGCACCTACTATAACGGTACTTGGACCCTTTGGGGGGTTCAGATTTTTGTCAATACCTTTTTCCAACTGCAGGAGTTCGAAAGCGCAGGGCGCGCTAGACGAGGGATTAGGGTTCAAGGAAACGGGTTTAGGGTTCAGGCTTAGAATTTAGGAATTATACAGCGGTGATACTTATAGTACCAACCCCCCTCCCAACAAACAAAAGTCAAATGATATTTGGTCTACTACGAAGCATCCATTTGCAAGAACCTCCTGCCAGATTGAATCGACGGCAGTACTGTTCTGCAACTTCCCGAAGATCTTCATGCCGTGCAGTAGCAGAACTCGATCGACTCTCACAGAGGCTTTGCTTCGGATGTTGTTGTACATCTCTGCTGCCTCTGAATACTGCTTGCAACGGTAGGCGGCTTGTAATGCGGCGCTGTGAACCGGAACTTTCAGACCGGTATACTGCTCATACAAGTGCCGAACTGCCGCCCAGCCCTTCTGGTTGCTTTTGCCAGCGACATTCAGAGCAGTCACCAGCCTTCTCTCACGAATAGAGATGTTATGCCTGAACTCAGAATCCATTCCGTCCTTGCGCATGGCGTGCAAACTTTCGCTGATATGAAGCTCGGTGTTTTCCCTTCCTCAGCCGTTCAGTAGCTCACCGGGAAAAGCATAGTCTGATAGCTATATGATATTAGGGGCCAGCGCCCCAAAAAATAAAAAAAAATACTACTGACCATCCTAGTTTCTGCGGAAGGGTTCCGGCTGCAAGGTGGCAGGTTTGCCAGCCCGGCTGCTGAATACAGGTGGTGGCACTTTCCACGCCTTCTCCAGAACAGCAAGAAACAGCAGCACAATAAGCTCAAAGTTCATGCGGCGACGGGCCGGGTTCATGCTGACTTCTTGGCAAAAGGGCCGGCACTGGCTGTCAGATATTTCGCTTCCAAAAGCCAATGCCAAGGGTTGACATGAACACAGCTTATGTGCTTGAGCTTTCGTCCTGCACAAGTCTGACTCCAAAGGGCACCGCACTCTGGTTGAAACGAAGTCGCAGACGCAGTAGCGACAGTAGGGAACTAATCTGACCTAACTCAATTTGTGTTGTTGCACCTGCATGTGCAAAGAAATACCCAAGCTGAAGATACCTATAACAGCTTCCTGTCAATGGCTAGCCCATGCCCCCAACAAATTCCATAGAGCCTAAGCATCTTGAAACCTAAAGTCTGAACCTTAAATCGACAAGGTTCGAGCTCCAAGTGCCCACGACGAGATGCGCAAACATACCCTTCCAGACTTGGGCTTGGGGGCATACTACAGCATAATTATATTCGGGATCCCTAAGCACTCGCAGTTATTCAGGCTTCCACTGTATATAGAACTTAAGGTTACCAGGTTCATGAAACCCTAGACCCTAAATCTCTCTTGGTTGATGTATGCAAATCCTTCTAGGCCGTCGATCTAGATTTGGACTGGGGTCTGCCGCGACAGAGTTTGTAATTGCTTCGGGCTTCGCGCGGACATCAAAAAGCGCTAGCATAGTCTAGGGACCAGAATTATATTTCATAGTGGAATAGTGGAACCTATGAGGGAATATTATATCGCCATGTGTTCGACACGTATATGAATTGGGTTCTATACGGGGATTCTGGCTTTCGGGGTCCACCCCTGTTTAACGAGGCTTTCTTATGGTTGAATAAGTGCTTGAGACTAAGGTTTGGGTTTGAGGTTTGGTACAGTTTACTTTGAAAAATGCTTGCTGGGTTGGTGCCTGAGGGAATGTGGAGTCTAGGGTCAGAGCTCTCTGGTCACGGTTTGAGGTTCGGGTTTTCAGCAGAGGCTCGTTAATGGTGAGTACTCCTACTGCTGCATTTCGCACACAAGCTACACTTAAGACAGCAGGGGGTGAACACATGTGCAGGTGAGCAGATGCTGGTTTAGCAGGCACAAGAACAGAGGGCGCCTTCACCCCCAGGTCGCACATGAGTTGTTACTCAACCAAAGCGGGAGATCCCGAAACAAGAAGGTCTTGCAGGTGCAAGTCTACGTGTGTGAGTAGCCCCTCTATAATAAAGGTACCCTTTTTCCTACTATTCGGCTTTAATAAAGGGACCCCAACAGAAAAGGCCACAAGGGTACTACACAGGAGCCTTAAAGTGGTAGAGCTGGTATATGATCGCCTTGCAAATGTCCGGGGTAGATGGTGGCCAGGAGTTGCGCTTTGGTGTCTGTGGGACCTGAGATCCCTCAACCGTAAACCCTAAAACCTTAAATCCTAAACCCTAATCCTAAACAAACCCTGAATCCTAAACCGTAAATCCTAAACCCTAAACCTTAAACCCTACATCCTAAACCGTTGAGGGCTCCGGGTATCAGGATTCGGGGCTCCATGTCTCTGAGAAATTTGCCATGCTGGCCTAAACCTTGATGGCGAAATGAGCCCTAAAAAGGTTCAAGATTCGTATACCATAGTAGGGATTCATAATGTCAGGGTACAGGGTCCCTAGTTTTAAGTGTCTTTGGTCCTTGAGGAGGCCTACTTGGAGGACCAGGGGACTTAGTAAGTCAGTTGTAAGCGGGGTTATAATTGGGTACTTATAACTCTACTTATAACCTACTTACCAAATTTCCCGGGCCTCCAAGTATACTAGCTCCTGCTGTGCCACCTAGAGCCCGAACCGTCTCAATGCCACAAGTTCCGAACCGCCTGGAGCCCGAACACCCAATGACACCAATTCCCAAGCAAGCACGGTTTAGGGTTTAGGGTTTAGGGTTCGGTTTAGGGTTTAGGGTTAGGGTTTACTTGGAAACAGGGTGTGGGGCTACCTTAAACTCTACCTTTGGAGCAAGATGAAGGAGTGGTCCTAGACTAGGACGACGGTCAAGGCTGCACATTCTCAACTTCTGTCGACACAGTAGCCGAGCAGTGGACCCTATCAAGTACACACACCTAGGCTTTGGAATCATGCACAACTGCTTCGGCGTTGGGCGAAAATGAAACCTTCATTTGTTGGGTGTCCGGTCCGATAAAATCACAAGTCTCGCGGGGTTCCGGTCAATCACAATCCAGGTCATATCCTTCAGCTGCTGCACATATGTGCTTTCATTCAGATTCAGCCGGGCCCTAATGTAGGCCTGAATAAGTAGAATGGGGTGTTGGGGCAGATTGTACTATAGTTATACTAAAGAACCCCCAAAATAGCGTTTAATTATTTAGGCTTCTAAATTACGCGCTTTCATTCAGCAGGGCCCTACTCAAGCTAGTCATGAGGTTCTAGTCGGTCAAGCAGGGATTCCGCTTGTCGCGCAGCCAGCATCCCACAAAGCCCATGCTCGTTGTTGCACTTGGAGCCCAGAGCAACTCAGATGGTCAGCTGCTGCAGGTACTGCTCAGTCAAGGAACTGAGCTGTGTCAGCCGGACACCCCGAACCCGAGCATCTCTCAGAACTGACTTTGCAACCTTCAGCCTGTCCCTTCTCGTCCCTTCCAGCCGAACACGGACGTCATCCACCGTCCAGGCCGCCGTGAGACGACCCTCGAACAAAGCACCCAAGAATGCTTCTATGAACACCTGGTTGGGAATGACGCCGTTGTCTGTCATACTGGACAGGATGCCTTCAAGCTCATCCAGCGGAGCCTGTCGGTGAGCTCCTGCTAAGTTGGCAAAGGCGACAACGTTCGGTTGCAAGCCTTTGCCTAGCATGTTCTCCAACAAATACATGGCTGCCTTGTGGCGGTTGGAATGGTTAGAGTTTTTGCATGCATTGATCGCAGAGGAAAAGTGGAGGTCACAAATTGGCACGGTCTCATCTACCATGAACTGCAAAATTGATGCAGCTCCTTCAATGTCACCCATCTCGCTGGCTGCATCAATCCGAGCTCCAGCCAGAAACTGATTGACCCATCCATTTGCACAAACTTCCTTCCAGATTGAATCGACTGCACGGCCGTCCTGCAACTTGCCAAAGATCTTCAAACCGTACAGCAGAATGACTCGACCGGCCATGGATACGTCGATGCTTCTGCTTCGGATACTCGCGTACATCTCCGCTGCCTCTGAATACTGTTTGCAGCGGTACGCGGCTTGCAATGCTGCGCCATGAACCGGCTGTGCGAGACCGGCGTAGCGCTCGTACAGGTGCTGCACTTTACCCCATCCCTGCTGCCCTCTTTTGCCAGCACAAGTCAATGCAGCCACCAACATTTTCTCACCTTCGGAGATGTTGCATCTGAACTTAGCATCCAGGCGTTCGCTCACATAGAGCTCGGTCCTGTCCCTCGTCATGAAGGAGTTCTGCTGGAACCTTGAAGGTTTGCCAGATCGACTGCTAAATGCTGGTGGAAACACTGGCCACAAATTCTTCAGAACGGCCAGAAGCAGCAACAGAACAACTCCACAGTGCATGAGGCGACGAGCCCTCTGCATTCGGACTTGTTGGCAGTAACCCTAAACGCTCAGCAATAAAACCTAAACCGTAAACCCTAAACCCTAAATCCTGAACCCTACACCCTACACCCTAAACCCTAAACCATGAGCCGCCACACACTTCGCTTCGAAAAGGCCGGGACTGCTTGAACCCGTGTCCGGCAATTGCACCTACTATGCTTATAACTGCTGTAGTATTTCTACTCTTTTGTTATTACCACTACTCTTGCTCATATGGCTATTACTATTAATATTGTTATTTCTTATTATTTTTATTGGTATTCCTATCGCTATTGTTACTATTGTTCTTCTTCCTTTCCGCATCTGTACTACCACTTCATTTCTATAGATCTCGTGCGAATGGCAGCGCACTGTGACGAGCAGTACACTGCCTCTTGAAAGAGGGATGCAGAAAGACGGCACCACAATGCCGCAAACCAGGGAGTCAGGACATGCTTTAGATCCGCCTTTGTTGGATGGTGCAAGACACTGCAGTGTGGAAGGCTACTGCTGGGTGGGAGGGTCTGACAATACTGCCGTCGGGATCTATAAGCCAATTTGACTTGCCGAACTTACAAGGAAATCCCAAGTCTGGACAGATGCCGTCAAACTTGCAATCCGAAAGCCTGCAAACTCTGAGACCTAAACATTCAACACCTGTGGATGCCCAAACTGAAGTCATATGCTGCCATAAACCAGCAGGGAGCCTGAAACAAGCAGCCATCTACAACTAATTACAGTAGTTTACGGACAGTCTAGATGCACATAGTCACAATGTACACGATCAGATCCACCTAAACCTGAAAAAGATCCACCTAAACCTGAAACCTCTGAAAGATGGCGTCTAAGCGCACCGTCACAGAGCGCATGGCACAGCACAAACTCACATACCCCATTACTAAACCTCAACTTAAATTAAACAGGAACCCTCTGCATGCTTCGAAGTATGTAAGAAATGCTCCTTCCCAAAGGGTCCTAAGTACCTATATGGTAGAACGTTAAGTTTCTATATGAGGAATTACAGTTAAGATTTGGGGAAGTATCCCCCCCCCCTAACAGTACCCAGGACCCTTTGGGCTTATCAAAACTTTCTAGGGTCATAGAGTTTCCTGTAACACCTCTGAGGCTTTCGCGCACCCACCACCCTTCTCCGGTTTTGCTGGTGTCTGCGTCTCCTCCGCGAACCTCTTAGGGTTTAGGGTTTAGGGTTTAGGGTTGTCAGACTGCCAGAGATCTATAAGAGTTTGAGGATTCCTGTTGGGGCTCTGTTTGGGATCTATGAGGGCTCTATTGCGAAGACTGACGGTATGTAGAATGATTATGGAATTATCGCTGCAAAGCCCACCTTTCTATACGTGGAATAAGGATTTTTGGGTATGTTGTACTACAACTATGATGAGGAGCTCCCGAATAGTATTGGCGAGGAGCACTGTGGACCGTAAACGGTGT